AGGGCTATCCATATTTACTTACTGAGTTATCTCATAGTTTTCCTTGTCCACCATTTCAGGAATCGAAACCGAGGACGGGGAAACCGAGGGGAGTGACAAGTTAGAAGGCTAGCCATTTCGAGATTGGTATAGATTTAGAAATAAATCATGCTCTTGCAAGCTAGAGTGTATTTGGAGATTTTATGATATTAGAGAAGTTTTAAAATTTGATCTTCAGATTTTTGTGGTATCAGATGTGAATTGGATAAGTTCCGAGCCTTGTGCATTTGTGGGACCCACTCACGAGTGCATGGCGTCTGTCGCGCCTCGAATTCGGGTTTGGGGCGTGACAATAGCTTTGATATAAAATTGAAAGTTGAAGTACCAAATTGGTATTCTAACCTCAATGCGACAAAATATCATATATGGAGTTATATTTATTTTCATATATTATACATTAATTATATTTACCTCTCAAATGGATACATCCATCAAACTTGCACCGGTCCTCCTACATGAGCCTCATATGGAAGGTGGATTGCAAGATGCTCCATACTGTTAAAGAATGAAGGTGGAAAGATTCGCTTTAGCTTACAAATGATTTCTACTATCCTCTCCTGCCATATTGCCATGTCATTGACCTGAATCACTGGAGCACACAAGGCTCTAAAGAACTCACTAATCTCAACAAGTGGCTCCCAAACTTGTTTCAGTAATAAATCACGAAATGCAATTAGTATAAGGCTTTGCATGAAAATGTGACAGTCGTGACTTTTCATACCGAATAATCATGTCTCTTGCGTATTGACACACTGAGATATATTGGAGGCAAATCCATCAGGGAATTTAAGTTCCTTCAATCATTGACATATTGAGTTTCTTTGATCCTTACTAAGAACATAAGTGGCCTTTGGCTTTTTACCCAAATTCACTCCTATTTTCGGTATGTGCAGACTTTTCCTTTTACAATACAATTCCAAATCAAGTCTTGCATTTATGTTATCTTTTGTCATAGGGTCATCCATTACTATATGAAGGATTTTGTCAAAAAAGTTTTTCTCACTGTGTATGGCATCTAAATTGTGTCGAATCAAGTTTGTGTGCCAATATGGCAATTTCCAAAAGATGCTCTTTTTAACCCAATTGTGCACTTCACCAAATCCGTGGATTTCCTGTTTCTGAGGTGGCTTACCAAATAGTACATCAAGCAGCCAATGGATGCGACTATGCATCTCATCACCAGACAATCTCTTTGCATTGTTCCATTCTCTGTACAACCCTTTATGAAGTCATTCTTGTTTCTTCTAAATGGATGATCCGGTGGCAAAAACTATCGGTGACAATCAAAAAATGATGTCTTTTGACCGTGTTCCAACCAAAAGGCCTTCGAATTTTCCATACAATAAGGACAAGCTAATTTACCATGTGTGCTCCACCCAAACAACATTCCATACCCAGGTAAGTCACTAATGGTAAGTCACTAATGGTCCACATAAGTGCAGCCCTCATCAGAAAGTATTGACACCTAAAGCTGTCATAAGTTTAGATTCCAAAATACCAAAGCTGCTTTAAATCATCGATTAGTGGTTGAAGCATTATATCAATATTCTTTCTAGGACTTTGGGGACCTTGGATAATCAATGAAAGGAATACATATTCTTGCTTCATGCACATTGTTGGAGGCAGGTTATAAACTAACACAAATACTAGCCAACAAGAGTATGGAGATGCAGAATGTCCAAAAGGAGTGAACCCATTAGTGCACAGACCTAACCTAACATTCCTCAGTTTACTAGCAAACTCAAGGTGAGTGCTATCAAAATGTTTCCACGCCTCTCAACATGCAGGATGAAAAATTTTCTCATTTTCATTATAACAATTTAAATGCCAAGTCAAATGCTCAGTAGTTTTCCTAGACATATACAATCTCTAAAGTCTAGAAATAATTGGAAGATACCACAAAGACTTTCTTGGTATAGGCTTTGCAGAATGCACATCACGCTGCTTAAATCGTGGCTCTTCACATACCAGGCACTATAAATAACACTGACTTTCATATTCTCCATAATACAAAATGAAATTGTTCACACAAACATCATACTTTTTATACCAAAGACCCAGACGCCTCAACATCTTCTTGGCACTATAATAATCTATTGGCAATTTCTCCCTATCAACTTTTTTGAAGACAATTAGACTACGCTTTAGCACATAGTCCCAATTAGTAACACTCATGTTAAAAAGTGTTTTTGCACTCATGAGCTCACACACCCACTTTAAAACAATGACACCATCATCACCCTTCAAAAAGAGGTGTATCAACTACTCGCAAAAGATTAAAAAACTCTTTTGCATCTCTTATTGGCTCCTCAAATATCGATTCTGTACTGACATCATATGGATCACCAAAACTAGCATCAAATTGTATTGCATCTTCTACCACTATGGCACTATTTTCATTATTAAAAAAATTTGGTCCCACAGCATTGTGAAGCATGTCTCTAAGTTGATCGACACTTGGAACATTATTCATAGCAGCAGTAGCAGCGACACTTGATGATTCACCCACTTGGGTGCAATGCCGTTTTCTATGAATAATTTCTCCGTATCTTTTCCAAATAAAATACCCATCCATAAAGCTGTTCTTAATAAGAAGAGATTGCACTTAGCGTCAATGATGCCATTCTCTATTCCAACACTTACTACACGGACACCGAATCATATTCTTTGCACAAAACATCGAGTCCATTTGTTAGAATGCAAAATCTAAGAAAATCTCTACCCCATCATTAAATTCATTGTTCCAATACCCCATTTCATCTCGACAACAATATATCCAACTTCGATGTTCTCCCATAATTAAGTAGTACATGCCTTAAAAATTCAATAATATCTTAATATTATATAACAAGCATTAGAATCATAAATATCAATTTTGGTCCATCAACTTTATGATTTTACACAATTTTCATCCATCAACTATAAATAATGTACATTTTTAGTTCTTTCGTCAATTAAATTTCTTTAGCACATTGATAAAAGGACTAAAAATGCAAATTACTCATAATTGAAGGATCAAAATGAGCAAAAAAAAGTTAAGGGACAAAAATTATGTAAAATCTTAAAATTGAGGAATCAAAATTAGCATTTATCCTTTTAAGATTACATATGCTACAATAATATATATAATTACATTTTTAACCAACTAAAAATCTACCTAATTTAATTCATCTTTATAATTAATTAAAAAATTATGAAAGTTAATTTGTTATACATT